GTCTCTCAAAGATCTGAGAGTGACTCATGTGACAGTACAAACCCGATGAAGGCATTGGCTACTTGGGGTGTGCTTCCATTGAAATGAATGTGCTGTAAATATAAAATATGCACTGCATTTTAAAGACATGCCATTAAGAAAACCCCACAAATATCTTATCCAATAAGTGATTTTAATTATCAAATAGAAATTGAACCATTGTGTAAGCCACAAATAGCTCTCATCTAGAAAAGTGAAAATTTAATGTATCAAAAAATGTAATGACGTTTCCAACTTATATAAGGAAAGAAAAGGTTTGCTTAAGAACTTTATACATTAGACCTTTTGCAGAAAGAATTTTCACTGTACTTTTTTACAAAGAAAATCATGAAAGCTAACAAACATTAAGTTCCTTCAAGTCATAAGGTTAAAAAAATTAACTACTGTAATTGAATAAGAGGATAACCATATTTTAATGTGTGATCATTCAGCCTCTAACAAAATGGTAGTATGAGAAGCACTCAAGAGTGTACCTTTCTCATAGCTAGTGGAGTTCTTTGTCTCCCTGAACTATGTAAGATTTATTGATCTTGACCAGTCAAATTACTCTGTCTAGAAAGGACAGACATTGATTTTGCAGAAGCAGAGATTGGCAAGTGGGACAGTTAACACTGACTTCCCACTCTGACAAAGCATGATTGTATAGGCAAGTCTACTATGATTTTTTTTTATTTGTTTCTTAAGATAGGGCCTTAATATAGACTAGTTTGGACAGAGACTTCCAACAGATCTCAGACTGTCCTCAAACTTATGATCATCCTCATGCCTCAGCCACTAGAGCTCTGAATTATAGACATTAACATTTTTCTTCCTAAAGTCATAACATTCCTCATAGACTCTAATAGAAAGCTGTAAGTCTCAGGTCTTGACTTGATATTTACATCATTACATGCAAATTTGCTTTTGTCTTTTACAGCTTATAGTGTAGGAATATCTCCACTGTGTTTTTGTGACAGTTCAGCTGCAATTAACCTATTCATGCCTCAATGATATTATGAGCTTGAGGAAAACATTTGTTTTGCTGCTCATCAGCATAATGAAGCATTCTCATTGTTTTCTATCAGTTTTTATAGGGTTTACATTCTAGTAAAGACACAACAAATAAATAAGATAGTGTTATATGACATTACTCTTGGGGAAATGTGAACAAATGTCTACTTACTTAGCTCCAGCAATGTGGCAAAGAAGGAAACAACAAAATTCTAACTTAGAGAACCAATAGGTTTTATTGGAGTTAGTTATATGAAAATGGGTAAGGGGTTACTTATAGAAAAAGAAATGACTCAAATACAACTGCACTATCAAAATCCAACCTTATTATGGCTGATAACTCTTGAAAATGGGATACTTATACCTCATTACACACTTCCAGCCAGTGGAACTTGTCCCATGTGACATAGGCTGTCTGAGCCTCTCTATACTTTGAATAGTCTCTGCCCATTCTAGATAACTGGGCCATTATGTGTGTATCTCTCTGAGCTAATTGTCCTTTCTGCTTACATCAAGTTAGAGAGAGAAGGGCCTGGCATATCTGTCAAGTTTCAGGAACTTCCTGAAGCCTTTGAGTTGTTTACTCACTGACTTTAACCTGCTTCATTGCAGAATGGAATACCTTGCTTCCTTTTAGATCATCCAGTGTCTCAATAAGCTGGAAGCTTTATCCTGGAAGAAACTACTACACAATAGTTATCTTAAATACATGGTAATAGATAGTTGTAAGTACTTATGACAAACACATATTAAATGATGGACATGGCTAATGGAAGTTTGGCTTTTAAGTGGGATGGTATTATGGCTGGTATGGATTTCTCCTCCCAGATTCATGTAGTGAAATATAATCACCAGTGAAGTACTAAAGGTTACATCTTCAGGACACAGTCAGGGCACAAGAGCAGAATTTTCACGGAGAGGGGTGAATCCCCATAAAAGACTCCAAGAGCTGCTTTGCTTCTTTCTTCGTGTGGGGACACAGAGAACTCCATCTATTTGCAGAAAGAAGGTCACCTGACAGAATATTCTATACCTTGCTCTTAGACCATGCAGTCCCCAGTAGTGTGAGAAAAAAAAAAATCTATCTGTGAGATTCCTTTTTTTTAAATTAAAAAATTAGTATTTACTCTTTGTTTTCATCCTTATGAGAATGCTTTATCTGCCTGTATGTATATAGACCATATGGTTGGCTGGTGCCATTGGACATCAGAAGAGGAGATGGGATCCATTGAAAGTGGATTTAAAAATGGTTGTGAGGAATTCTGTGGGTCTTGGCAACCTCTGCAAGACCAACAACCCCTGAACAATCTCTCAGGTTAGAATGGTGCTCAGAATGACCCAAGTGAGAGGTCTCAGTGTGTAGGAGCTGTTGTAGAGTCAGAAAACAATGGCAATGCATGGGAGATGGCTAAGCTCTGTGGGAAGATCTAAGAGCTGAATCTCCAAATACAGGCAGGCACAGGCATTTCCAACATCTTTCTTGAACCTTTGTTTTTTTTTTTTTTTTTGTTTTGTTTTGTTTTTTGGTTTTTTTTTTTGTTTGTTTGTTTTTTTTTTTAACCTGAAGTCACTTACTCATTAAAATGTATCTCTTTAGTTTCTTCAGTCATTATTTTGGCATAGACAGTTGTTATATCCATGTTCATAAGCATAGCCTTCTTTGAGTTCTAATCTATCATCTTCAAATAACTGCTGAGCAGTTCATTTTTTATATCTCTTTCATTATGTTTTCTGGCTGCCAGCCTGAGAGTCCAAATTAGATTCAAGACTATCCCCATGTATCTAGAGAACTAACAGGTCAAGCTTGATATAGATAACTATGAAAATAAAACATTATTTCATCTGTTAAAAGGTATTAGCAAGTAGTGAACCAAACTGTACAATGTTGACTTTTCAAAGAACATTGGGAAGATTTCTGGAAACCCAGTGATGAGCCTCTTTTGAGTACTGTAACCTCTGATAGAAATCATCTTGTTTAAACCCAGAGTAGAAGGAATGTAAGAATCTTTGAAGCAGTTGTTTAAACAAGGAAGCAAAATATGTTTTGACTCAAAATGTTGCACATGACTATTGATATGCTTGTGTTTTCGTGAAAGCAGGATGTACATAATTATGCTTAGCTTATGACTGCTCAGATGTTCCTATAAGCTGATGTTCTTTGGAGACATATCAACTATATTTTGACTAGCATTAAGTGTTGTTATGATGAAATAGTGCTATTCCCCTAATCTTGTATTTCCTATTTGGATCTACTGATTCCATTCAATTCTAAAGAAGTTGCACATATATTATTATTTTCATTTCCAACTCAGAAGAGCTTGGAATGACACCAAATTTGTAGATCCAAAATCTGAAATTTCAATTTTGAACTTCCTCAAACCTAGCAAGACCTAGATTCTAGTGGTTCAGATGTATTTCCTGAATAGGAACCTCATATTTTACTGGAGAGTCTGTCATACATTCATGAAACCAAAAGAAGGTTCATTAAGGCCATTGGAAGGTCTTTGAGCCAGAGCCACTTGTCAGCGGAGTCTTCTGTCCTCCAAGAACAAGTCTATGGTTTCCCAATGGTCTCTAGAACTAATGAGGAAGTTTGTCAGGGCCTCAGCACAAACATGTGGGCAAATTTTAGAACAATTGGTGAAGTTTTTTGTTTAATTACCTTCCTTGTATTTGGATTATGGGGTAGTTTCTCTGACCAATCAAATCTTATTCACTATTTTTTCCCAGATAAATTTTACTTGAACTGATCCCAAGATAGAATTCCGCTCTACCGGAAACACTTTTATGAAGTGTAATGTAGCATGCAATTTTAGTGTGACAATTAAACAATTTGAAAAGTGTAAGATTTAGTCACAGCTTTTTTTAATAAATATATTATCAAGTAGTATGTGTAATGATTTTTCCCAACTTGATGTATGTGATTGGAAATTATTTTTCTTGGCAATAAGCTAAAATCATTGGTCAACAATGGGTTGAAAAATTATGTACTATCTGTGTATAGTGAATCTATTTAATTCAAACTAATACTTTGTTTTCAATTCAAGTCGCATGCTAATAAATTCTAGATTTTTAAATAAAATTATTTAACTAAGCTTTCCTTGGTTATTTTAAAGTAGAATTTACTCTATAGTATTATACTATAGAATTGTTTGATTTTTAATTAACTATATTATTAAAACATTTCCCATCTTTTCAGTACTTTAGTATCTTTCTAATTACTTATAATTCCCCAGGAAATTTTTCATTGAAACTGATACTTTATTTAAAATTTTTTTCTGATAACATTGAGCATAATTCATCTGGAAAAGAAAAACTACAATATCACTTTAAGGAAGAATTGCTGTCTTCACAATGTCACATTTCTTGGACTTCACAAACATTATTTCATTATCTTTGGCAAAGAATTTAGGAATGAAATAATAGTTGAATGGTATGAATTTGTCTTTGCCTTTTGTTTTTAAAATGTTACTTTGAAGATTCATGTTTATTTTCTGTGACTAGAACTTAAAAACTCTGTTTTTTTATTATCAGTATTTTTGGTGATCCTCACAGCATTCTTGTTATTGAGTTTTTAAAATAGTCTTATATTTCCCAGTACTTTCTATATATTCAATTTTTGTCTTTTGTTCATGTTCTCCCTTAAAGATCAAATCAAGTACCTTTTGTTCCTTTCACAGTTCAATGATGCTGTGCCTATGAAATGTGTATTATCATTACTCCTTACTTTTGTATCTATGAATTCTTATTATTTCTGTACCTATGGATTCTTATAGTGAAATAATTAGAATGTGAGGTCTTGTTCCTTTCATAGTTCAATGATGCTGTGCCTATGAAATGTGTATTATCGTTACTCCTTACTTTTGTATCTATGAATTATTATTGCTTATTTCTATACCTATGGATTCTTATGGAGAAATAATTATGGAGTGAGATAGATGAAGAGAGTGGGTGGGGGGAGAGCAAAAGGAATGACAGACTGACAGATATTTGCCACTAAAAGCTGCAACTTCAGTTAGAAATTAGTGCAGGACATCATTTTTCAATTAGCAATAATTATGCCCTAGATTCTCCTCATTGTCAATGATACTGTCACTGCACAAAGCTTAAAACATCATTTTTAAATTCTTTTTTTCTAGACAAAAACTCATATTCTCCATTAATCAGAATTTTTGTATCATAAAGATTAGAAACACTATATTTTGAAAGCACTTGTGGGTTATATATGTGTGTGTTTACAGTTTATTTTTTTTTACAGAAATTGGAATTATGTGTTATGGTTACTAACTAGAACTTGATTCACTGATATTTGACAAAGTAAGAACCATATTACGTATATGATAGTAATAAAATTAACAAACAGACATAATTCTGTATTACCCAGGAAGAATAAGAAAAATTATGTCATGATGAAGCGGGAGGGTTCAATCTCATTAAAATAGTGCTTCACTCTATAGGGAAGAAATAGAGGTCAAGAGTATGCAGTTGAAAGAGCACAGCAACCACCAGCAGATAGCAACTCTAGAGTCAGGACTGTGTCTAAGGAATTGTCACTTTTTATTAAGTCTCATAAACTTTCTAAATATTTTTCTTGAGTTGAAAGGTTAAAGGAGCACATGTATTTGTAAAGCAGTTTACAGACACAGGGACAGTTTTTATTGAAATATGGAGGGGTCAGAGATAGGCCATACAAGAACCATGGTGCTGGCATACAAAGCCAGCTGAAGAAGACATGTAATCTAGAATTAAGTAGGAAACTAATACATTCAGGAATGAAACTAAGATTGCCTCAGAGCAATAGATGATAATCTACCTATAAATTAGAGTAATTGAGAGGCATGTTAAACAATTAACACTATTTTCATTTGCAAAATTAATTGGTAGTTTCCCTATTTTATTTCCCCACTCTTTGAATTTTTGTAAACAACTATAATTTTCTTAAAGATAGAAAAAAAAGAAAAGATACCAGCATTTGCCCAGAAAAAAAAAAAAAAAAAAAGAAAAGAAAAGATACCAGCAAAATAGGATAAACTATTTTGCAATCATGTTACTTGAATCGTATAAATTCAAGATGCCTGAAGGAGAATTTATCAAGTAGTTTCTAGTCAATCCCCTGGGGGATTCTTATCATTAATTTTGTTCTTCCTAGAATACTAGTCATTCTATTATCAAGTGGCACTGTGAAATTCCATTCTGTCTCTAATGACAGTCTAATACATTATGCTTAGATTATGAAACTGAGCCTGCTTTGTTATATACCAACAACTAGACACAGCATAGTATGTAGTGCTATTTATAGAACTTTGTACAAGGCTTCTTTACAACTTAGTTGAATTTCATTGGATGACACATGCCTTTGCATTGTGGATTGAGAAAACTAACCCCAATTCATTAACTCTATTTAGATTAAAAAAATACATTAGTATACTCAAATTTGTGTTGTAGGAAAATTAAAATTCAACATTAAAGAAAGTGATTTGTTGTAATTTTTATCCCTGAAATTAATTAAATATCTTAAATGCCTTTGTTCTCTACACCAAATAGAAATTAGTATATAGAGTTTTAAATCATGCCCCTCCCCTCAAAATGCCATAAAATATTCTAATATATGGTTACTAAGTACTAGTAAGTATTTTTAGTATAATAATTATTTTGAGCAATAGCCATTATAAATCATCTGAAACCAATTCCCATGGAAACAGCTTGAAATATATATCCTGTTGTTTCTTATGCTTTCAACCCTCCATTTTGATTTTTATTATCAATGAGCTTCATTTCCAGAGATCAAACCTTACCCTAAGCCGAGGACAATTTTTGCACTCAGAATATTTAATACTCAGTGTTAAACACAAATGTATTTGTGTATTAATGATAATTAATCTGTATGATTAAAGTTTCAGCAGGGAGTAATGGAAAGAATACTGAAACTGGTGTTATGACTTACTCTGGGCTCTGTTATGGGCTGAATTGCCCTGGGAAGTCCTCTGTTATCTATGTGAATATTTCTTCCCACCCCCATACACAGGCTTGTTAAAACTCACAAAACACTCAAAGTGTCATTTCAGAATAACTTAACAAAAGACCCAGTTCAAGTTCAATTTTCTACTATTATGTGAATAAATATATAAGAAACAAGGGAAGAATTTCTTCTCTGATGTATTTCAAATTTTGATCATCATGTAACTAGATTTAGCTATTTGGGCACATTTATAAGTCTATTTCCTCATTAAATGAGTTTCATTTTTTAAAGGACCACTGCATTTATTTCACAGAGTAATCCTGATTTTATGGTTTTACTTGGTGAGGAAAAAAAATGTGTGGCTATTTTATGTATATACAACCAGTTTGAGTACATAAAGAAAAGCCTACAGCTTTATAGGACCTCTAAAGTTTTAGAGCCTTTCTGTTTCATCCGAGGGAAAAACAACCTTAACCACTATTTTCTTTTCTTTGCCAATATCAAGCAGTTCAGGAACTCCATAACTGTGAATATCTACCTTGAAGCCATATGTAAAGATCTAGCATGGAAGTCACCTCTGAGTCTTATTTTCCTAGACCTGAAAAAAGAAATGTACTTGACAAGCAGTTCATTTAAGCTCCTGGACATTGGGGTGACAGTGTGATCCAAGGCATGGTTAGTTACTGCTTGATGAGGTGACTTATTTGTGGATAGGGAGGACAGCTGTGCTGAGAGGTAGGCGACGTGGCCAGAGGCTCGGTGCTATAATGGTAGACACGTAGAAGATTAATGGGAAAATGGTCTGAGCAGAGTGTTGACGTGTTAAAGAGAGAACTCAGAGATCTTGTTCATCTGAGTTGACCTTCATGTTGACACTAGGCCAAGAGTGTTGCCTGCCTGCAGTCTCCCCATCAGTGAGGAAGTAGGATGCTTTTTGTTCTGTTTTAAATCAACTTTTCAACTTGAAGTATTAACAGAAGCATCTAGCCTAGGGTTTAAAAACGTATTCAACACAGAAAGTCTTGAAAAATATTTAATGCTTCAAATAATTTTCCTGAGCCTCTGAGAAATCTTGCACTAAAAATGTCTATCTGCTGAAGTAGTTTCTAAAATATTAGTTTCCACTTTCCCTTTTTGCTCCCAGGATAACGATTTCCCTGAACCAAAACATCTCCTTTATTTTCTTTCTTTCTTTCTTTTTTTTTTTTTCCTTCGTGGTACTGAAATAACCCATCCTGAAGACATAAACAACCTGCCCTGATGGCTAGCCAAGACTGTCCTGCCACATATCTCCTCCTTCTCCATACTTCTGACTCCAAGGAGCAGTAAACACAAATCTGTACCCAAAGAACTGAGAAGAGACTTGCTGCAGCTAAACACTGAGTAGGAATAAAAACAATGGCTCAATTCAACAATAATAAATGTGCTCAGAAGACAGTCTCCAAGAGGAGGGATAAATAACCTACATAATGAAAAATTAGTTAACAGTGTTATGTAAATATTGAAGCAGCATCAATGAGGAGGTAAGCAGAAGTATTTTAAGACACTATATTATACAATGCACTGTGCACTGTTTCCTGGTGATAAGGTTTTTAAGGCATCTTTATAAGCGCAGCTTCTCTGTTGTGACAGGATTATTTTTACACCTTTAGAAAGCAACTAAAAAAGAAAGCCTGGAAAAAAATCCCTGCCTAACAAAGCACCCATACTCAAATAGCTTAAACTCAAAGAAAGAACTGACTCAAGATACAAGAATAGATTGAATATAAAAGGTTAAACATGCCTATGAATGATACCCTTGTTTCTATTGCAGTGAAGTAGATTCCTTTCAGTGTAGTGAAATGCAAAAATAATTAAGGATGAATTTGGGGGTTTATTGTTTTACTGAATTTTAAATAGTCATTAAAGCAAGTATGTTATATAATAACACCCAGAAAAAAAATAACATCTACAAAGGACAAAATTGAGTAACTGGATAATGTAGTGTGTAAATTATCTAAAGGACAACATTCTAAGTTCAAGGAAATAGTCTGGCTACTGGCATCAAAAAACTGAACTTACCCATTACACTTTTGAGAAAATGTTACCAATAAATTTTTTCGTTACCTCTCCACAGAAAATCCAAAGATTATGATCACAAATTATTTAATTACATGAAATTATCTATATTTTAAATACCTTTTCAAGAAGCAGCATTGCTTTTATTGATAATGGAACAGAAATCACTGAGAATCATAAATTCTAAACTGATATTAGGTATCATTTTTTAAGAGATGTTAATGTCCATCACTGTGAATGCAGCATTTAGTGATAAGAAAACCATAAATGGTAGGAAAATGAAAATAGAAATATCTGGGATAATCAATAGTTAATATTTAAGTATGTTTGACCCACCCCCTGCCTTAGTTCAGGTTTTATTGCTGTGAAGAGACACCATGACCATGGCTACTTGTACAAAGAATAACATTTAATTGAGGTGGAGTCTTACTAGTTCAGAGGTTCTGTCCATTATTGTCCTAGTGGAGAGAGAGCATGGCAGCATACAGCAGACATGGTGCTGGAGCTGAGAGTAGTACATCTTGCAGGCAACAGTAAGTCCACTTACACCTCAGCGGTACACTAAACATAGGAAACCTTAAGGCCCATCCCCACAGTGAAACACTTCCTCTAATAAAGCCAGACCTCCTAACAGTGCCACTCCCTATGATATTATGTGATGGGAGATGTCATTTCGTAAATATGTTTCTCATACTGGTTAATGAATAAAGCACTGTTGGCCAATAGGAAAGCAAGGCAGGTGGGACTAGGAGACAAGGAGGAATGAGGAAGTAAAGGGAGGGAATCAACATGGAGGGACTGGGGAGACCAGACTCCGGCCCCACTCCCTGGTAAGATGAGAGAGACCACGTGGAAATACTTAGGTTAATAGAAATGGGTTAATACTTAAGACAGAGCTAGCTGATAAGAAAGTAGTACCTAGCCAACAGCATTATATCTAATACGGAGTTTTTCTGTGCGCTATTTGGAGCTGGCACAGCGGTGGGACAAGACCAGCTATGGGCAGAAAAACCTACTCCTTACAATTATAGGGGCCAATTACATTCATGCTACCACACTCTCCAGATAGCCTACTGCAGATTGTCTAATT